TTCCTACCTTATGTGACAGATAATTCTTAAGTAATATAGAAATAAATGACACAATATAAATAAAATATGAATTTTAATTAAAAAATATTTTTGGAAAATTTACTAGTGTTTCTTTACCTTTTACTTTGAGGGTGATCTGTTCATACCCTGGATGTACCACTGGACCCTGGTGCCATTTTTATGGACGATAATGACGAGATCAAAGGGTTCGCATTGTCGACCAGTAGAAAGATTCTGAAACACTGCTTCGTATGAAATGATCAGCGAAATCACGACTTGAATTCCATCTAGCATATATGGAATATACTTGGGAGACATTTAGTTTCCTGTGCATAACCCTTCCCAGAATCTTTAACAGCTAAGAACGTCTGCTTATTGAGGCGTATGAACATGAATGAGATATATCAAACCCACATAGATGATCATGATATTGTGAGATTCAGCCGTGTTTATTAATCTACCGCCTGACCTAACTTGTGAACAATAGTAAGTTTATATAGAAAGTATCAAATTTCACACCTGGGAGTTAATTACTCAGCCAGTTCTCAGTCGCAAAAAGACGCTTTCACATAACCTTCTGACCTATTATTGCAAAACTGTCAAATGAAAATAGCGACAATCGGGGGTTTTCGACACAGTCGCTGCCGTTCCTCTAAAAGAAGCATCCACCAGACCCGTTCAATACCTCCTATTTGGATTATACCGTAACAACGAACTTAAGTGCCTATTTGGATTATACCGTAACAACGAACTTAAGTGCCTATTTGGATACGTAACCCAGAACTTGGAAGTGACATCGNTAACACAACCATTTGACGGACTCCTCGGACGAGATATTATCACGAAACAAGGATTAACTATCTGTTTGGCAAAGGAAACGATGATTCTCCCTGCAAGAGAGGAAATTCATTTCCGATGTGGTTCTGAAGGCAAAGAAAGTAATATCTTATCGCAAGTGGGTAGGAAACGAGATCGTCAAGGAACACATATAACATCCAAAGCTCATTCTACTTTCAATCACAAAAAAAACCAAGATACTTATATTACACCTAAACATTTACCTCGAGAACACGCAAGAGATGTAATCTTGATAACAGATTGCACTCTTCCTCCAAGAACAGAGATCATTACAATGGCTAAAATAACCGGAATAAAGCAGAGGGGCAGATTAGGAATAATAGAATCCAACAGCTTTAGTCAAGAGGGAGTTGTAGGAGCAGATATCCTAGCAAAAACTAAGAAGGACGGACAAGTACCTATTCGCCTAACCAATCTTTCTACTCAACCTAGGAAATTATCAAAGGGTGAATGTGTAGGAAGCTTCTTGAGAGCTGTCGAAGACAAACCTCCCATAAATCCAAAATCTAGCACTCAATTATCTACTCCAAACATTACCAAAGAGGAATTTAGTCAGTTATTCGATTGGTCCCACATTGGAAAA